AAAAAACATTCTTCGTTGAATAATAGCCATTGATTTCAACAATCAGCCTCATGCATTCCTATTATGACCACTCTGAGAAAACGACATTAAACCAAGAAAAAAATCAATAAATCATATTTAAAGATTAATTTTAAGAACTTTGATCTGCGCAAAAATAGGCGGGAGCCAAAGGGTTAAGAGTAGAATAAAAGTTGTCGTTTCGGATGCTATTTTTAATGAGATACTGGGATCACAATTGTGAAAATAATCCCAATATTTGTTCCTGTTTCTTTGAGATGCTATATTTGATCGAGTTGAAAATTTTTCTACAGGGACTAGACACTATTTCAGATGGAAGTCTTTTTATTTCTTCTCCTTTGAAAAATAAAGTCAAAATATCAAAGATATCCTAAAATATGCATGCTTCTTTTGGAATAAAACAACCAAAAATCATTGCTCTTCTTCGTCGTAAATGTTTTTTTTTTTTTACTCTATGATTTCTTTCTCTTTGGTAGTTTACTTCAAACAAGTGAAAATTTCAACTTAAATAATGAAGTTCAAGAATTTTTTTTTCAATTATTAATCGAATTATCATCGACAACCGTATTGTCAAGCAATTGTTCGACAAAAAATCTTCAAATAGCTTTAATAGACTTGATATTTGTTTTATTAAAAAAACAAAAAAATCAATATATTGCAGATAACAACGAAATTGAAAATATTGAATCAAAACTTCCCGAACAGATTCAAGATTTATATACAACAATTAAGATTATTATTGCTTGGCGTGATCCAACAAAACAAACATTATTACCTGAAGCTTTTTTTCAACAATCAAATGATATTTTAGGTAATAATTTTAAAACAAATCAAGATGATTTTAACAAATCTAATAATCATTTTAATACTAACGCTGATCAAGATCTAATCAATTTAATGACTAATGATCAGTCACTTAATGATTCATTTTCTAAATTCATTCAAAATCTTCCAAAAGAAACTCAATCAAATACAACATTCTATAAAAATTATCTATCTTTATCAAATATTCCATCTGATTCTATTCAAATTCGATCTCATTTTTTTTATATTTTAAACAAATTCATTGAAAAAAGTCTTCCAATAGTTGATCTTAGTTTACCATTAGGACAAAGTTTTTTAACTGATCAAATTCGAATAATAAAACCTTACTTATTATCGTCAACAAAATTTCAATTATTAGCAGAATCTTTAGAAAAAACCGAAGTTGAATATAGTGGTGATTGGAATATAGTTAATTTTGATATAGTTAAAGCTAATTCAAATAGTGACAACAATGAAAATACAATGTTCTATCAAGCTTATCAACAATTGCATACAAATGCTCATATCACATTTCGACGATCGAATGAACAACTTTGGCATGCACAATATATTGGAATGCATAGTACTGATCATGGTGGACCATATCGTGATTCAATAACTCGTATTTGTTCGGATATATGTTCTTCACGATTATCATTATTTATTTTATGCCCAAATGGACGTACGAATAGTGGTTTAAATCGAGATTGTTGGATTCCAAATGTTTTTCCACCAAATAAATCAATTTCAAATAAATATAAAAAACAATATCGTTTTGTTGGACAATTATTTGGTATGGCTATAAGAAAGAAACATTACTTAAATATTAAATTTCCTATTTTATTATGGAAAAAATTATTAAATGAATCAATTACTGTTGAAGATATTGAAGCAATCGATTTACAAAGTTTTACAATTATTAATGAAACAGAAAAAAATATTGAACAAATAAAATCAATTGATACTGATAATAATATTGATTCATTATTTAGTAGTATTATGGATGAATTACAATTTGATGTTGTTAGTTCATCTGGAGAAACCTATGAACTTATTTCTAATGGTTCAAATATTCCTATTACAATTGATAATTTTAAATATTATTGTTCTTGTTATCGACAATATCGTCTTAATGAATTCAATCGACAAATTGATTTCATTCAGCAAGGTTTATATACTATTATTCCATCTTATTATTTGAGTTTATTGACTGCTAAAGAACTTGAACAAGCCGTATGTGGAAAAGATCAAATTGATATAGAATTTTTAAAACGAAATACATTATATGAAGGTGGATATAATCAAAATTCATCGCCGATTGAACGATTTTGGACTGTTCTTAGTGAAATGTTTAATGATGATCAAAAAAAATTATTGTTGATATTCGTTTGGGGTAGAAGTACATTACCAATTCGAGATGAAGATTTTTCATCAAAATTCATCATTAATACGTACGATGTTTATCAAGGTGAAGTTGATCAAGTACTTCCACGTAAGTATACGTACAATGTCATGGATGAAAGTTTTCAATTCAAACGGATTGATCTAACAGAATAACCAATTTTTTGGGTTGTTCAACAGGCAGTACGATATCCATAGTCGTAAATTAGTTTAATCAGATAGACGAACTGACATGAAGTTGTCACATATTGGCGCGCAATACTATCGTGTGCCCATTAGTAGAATGGTTGTGATCGTTTTTCAAATAAGTTTCGTTAGACGACGAAAATCTACGGGTTTTATCATTCAAACAAGCACATAGAATCATATCAAAGTCGATTGACTCAGTCATAGAATAACCAAATGAAGCCTTGATAGGCATTTTTTATTCGATTTTCAGTTTTGAAATGACTGTTCGATCTACGCAAAGCTGATGTCTTTATCTCATTCTATTCAATATCTATAAAAGTTCACCTGCTAATCCTGGTTTCAGCCTATTCACTTGAAATCATCCCAAAAAGGGCCTTAGGAAGCAGTATGTGACTATGCGAATATAAGCGGCAGATATTTTCTAAATATTGATATATCGTTTTGAAACCAATAATAAACACCATCATTAGGCGCACCATCCTTTCTTTTCGATGATGCCAGATGAGTTGGTTTTAATCAGAGATCTCATAATCAAAACCGATTGAAAAATGCTCATCATAGTTTTACTTGGTTAGTAATGACTGAATCAATCAACTTTGACATGCGTCTATATCTTATATAATCTGGCGTTGATTAATTACGTTTGACATGTTAATAGAATAATAGAGTTTTTCATTGAGTCTATCAAATTTGTTTGATTTATTTTAGGATCACATACATGTTTTTTTACTATTGATTTACCCGCTTACTCAACGACTGATATTATGTATGAACGTTTAAATTATGCTATTACTTGTTGTTCAAGTATAGATGGTGATGGTACTGTAAACGATGCACGAATTGACGAAGGTTTCGATTCTGATGGCAGTGACGATGAAGAATAAAATATAAGAAACTATGTTTATTTTTACTAGTGACTCTTTGATTAAAATAGTGCCTATTTTTTTTTAAATTGAAATAGATTTCATCAAAACCATTGGTTTAGAGTCATAGAAATAGATTCGCTATTTGAACAAATTTATTGAATGTTAATAGAACTTGCTCACATTATTTACAACAAGAAACATGAGATTTCTTATCTGTCTCTCTCAACATATGAATATTTATTGAAGAAGCAATTTTCTAATACATTAGGTCGATGCTATATAAAATCTTTTTGAGAAAATGTTGGATGTGTTTAGAAAAAAGTAACACTCATTTACATGTTTGAATGACAAGAGATATCCTATTGTATAAATAAAGGGTGTGAGTGTTGGTGTGTAGTGTGGTTGTAGTTATATAGCTGCTGATCTTCTTTTCAATTATACCCACACCCCAGAACGTCGGTAGCCTATTTTCTTTTTTATCGGCTACTGAAAGAAACTCCATAACCACGTCTTCTAACTTAACTTTCTTTCATACTCCATGCATTCTACCACTATACATATTGTAAATAAGAAACAATCTCTTTTTGATATCTCTTTCCTTGGGCCGAATATCAAGAAAAGAAAAAAAGATTTTCTGTAAATAGTCTTCTTTTCTATCTTCTTGTTCCCCCTCTTCACTGCTGTACTACAATTCAACTTACATCAATCATAATATTAAATGAAGAAAAACCACTATTAAGGGTACAAAAAGATGTCTTTTATTTATTTATTTTTCTTATTACTGCTTTACTCTTACGTTCTTTTGCTTGCTTATTCATATTATTATTTTACATGATCTGTCAGGATTCAGAAATATTTTTGTTGATTTTTCTTGCATGCACTAAATCTGATTCTGATCATTGTGTTTCATTCTTGCTGAATGCTGTTCAATTCGATTTAGACTGAATTTATATGTCTATTTTGATTTGAGCTTATTATTCATGTTCAATGTCACTCGAAGGACAGGATAATATGGTCGAAATCAAAGTTTATTTGGCAAACTATATACTGGCAACGAAGACTTTTCTTCTTTAGAAATCATCTCTTAATTCAAACAAATTTTCTTCGTTTTTCCTTTTATATAATTTTTAATTGCTTATGATGTATACAATGAAAAATAAGAATCCTCAAAAGAAGCAAGTACATTTTTTTGTAATAAAAGAAAAGAATTTTATTTGTTTATTTAATCTTTGTTTAGCAACTTACACAGCAAATCGAATTAGAGTTTCAACCAAAAACCAAACGTATTTTTAAAATATTTTTTTTGTTAATATTGTCATCTTTGTTTTCATTTAGTGTCGGTTTATTCATATATATAAGATCATCATTGGCTGAATATTTGGAATAATTAATATTTCGATTTCAATAGTAGGTATGATGAGGGAATCGAAAAATTCAATAATTAAAAATGTTTTTTTTTCCTTTTAGACTGGTTAATCAAAATAATATATACGTTTATATATGTGACTTTATCTGCAAATGAAAATCAACATGTTATTTTTTTTCCAATGAAGTTCTCATTGTAAGACTTGACATTATAGTAATGTATTTTCTTTTTTTCTGTTGTTTTTATTATAAAATTGAAACATCAAATATTTAATAAATATTGTAACGAATAAATACAACAAGAGAACGAAACTCAAAAGATTTCATCTAGTAAAAATTAGAATACAACTAAACATTAAATAGAAAACTAGGGTGTGGGTGTGGACATTATTTGCGCCCACACCCACAACCGCACCCACCCACACCCACACCCCCACCCACCCTCACCCACACCCTAACCTGCTTATCTTCAACATTCGACAACAAAAAGGAAAAGCAAAAAAAAAGAAGTATATGAGCTACCACCATTAGTCAAACAAATTATCCGATGTTTATATCCATCAGACATCGACGACAAAAACTATTCACAAAAACCGGACGTTATCTTCACTCTTCATACATTTGTTGAACTTTTTCGTATCTAGTTGATATTTTTTCAACTCTTTTCTTCTCTTTGTTCAGCGAAGAGTCTTCTACAAACAATAAAACGCCTATAAATATACTTCACTACATTCTCTCTGCTTTAGATTAGTGGAATGTCTCTAGAATAATAAAAAAAAATCGATTTTTTCAAAGATTTTTGAACTTCCGTGTAATATACGTGAATCAGATATCTACTGTTGAGGATAAAACACGAAAGTGTGACCCTTATCTTGAGTGTTACTATCTTCTGAATGACTAATACACGAATACTTTGTCCATTGCTGATGCAAATGAGAAGCTAGTCTTTCAAAAACTGAAAAATTTCAAAAAATCGCAAAAATTTCTCGAAAGAAATGGTAGTAGCGCGCATATTTTCTTCATAAGTCTGTCAAAATCTGATCGTTTTTCAAAAACCCATATATATTCTGAAAGAGGAATCTTCGGCGCATCTTCCTATGTTAAAAAGTAAACTTCTGATTTTTTTCGAAAAATTGACTTTTCTGAGGGGGGAGGGTCCCCTTAACAAAACTTATTACAGCACAAATCAATAGGCATAGTAATAAAAAAATGGATAACAACTTATACAATATAAATTAATGATTTCCATATTGCTTGTCATTATATAGTTTTTTTTCATAGTGTATTTAGATATCGATAGTAAATAAAAACTCTAGTTTGACTTTCATCAAAAGAATTGATAGTACTTTGTTGTACTATGCGTCGTTGTGTAAGATTTATTTTCACGTTTTCAAGTAATTCTTCCAAAAGTCACGAGCTTAAAAAATTCTCGTGCTAGCAAAGCTATTCAAAAAGAGAGAAAGATAAATGAAAGACAAGAGATTGCTCTCAGCAACATATGACTTAGTATGTGATTACTCATTATACATGTTTGTGGTCAACAAATAAATTGTGAATAAGGCTTATTACACAGAACTTGAGGCAATACTTGTCTAAGTGATATAAGCTCTTTCTTTCACTCCAATCATAAAATAACGATTGGCATGAAGTCATTCATCTTCAATCAAATTCAGGCACATTTTACTGCTAAAAATAATGCAAATTGGCCACCCAGTAACAGCTGTGATAGAAAAAAGCTATTTTGTACATCTCTCAATCCAATCGATGAAATAAAAAGTTTCTCTTTTTTCTTTCGTTTGTAGTTAATCCTAGTTTCAGTATGTATACTGACAATGTTTATCAACGATCCATAACAGATTGATATTGATTTTTTCTTTGTAGTTTTTCTTCCAGTACGACACAATCGAGTTCTTCGTAGCCACGATGGATCGATATAATCTTCTTTTTTGTCTGTTCTCCTTGGCTACCATCAGCAGCAGCAGAACGATTCCATTTGATCCAGAAAACTTTGATGACTTCACTCCGACTTCTATAGGCTATATAAAGGATAATTGGAATGTCTATTTTAGCAATGAGAAAGTTGCTGATGCATCAGCACACTCATTTCAAGATCTTGGCTTTGGATATGGCAAAGATGCATGGTATGTGTTTTATTTCGGCGAAAAAATACCAGATGCGAAGCCTTCATCATTTCAAATATTTCAACCCTACACTGGTTACACCAAAGATGTATGGTTTGTATATTATTTTGGAAAGAAAATACCAGATGCGAAGCCTTCATCATTTCAAATACTTAGACCCTACGCTGGTTACACCAAAGATGTATGGTATGTGTACTATTTCGGAAAGAAAATACCAGATGCAAAGCCTTCATCATTTCAAATAATTCAACCTTACGTTGGTTACACCAAAGATACATGGAATGTATATTATTTCGGAGAGAAAGTGTCAGATGCTGCTGCTCATTCATTTCAATCCCTTGGTAATGGCTACGGTAAAGATAGCTGGTCAATGTATTTTCATGGAAAGAAAATGAAGCGATATCCCTGATGAAGAATTGAGGACCTCATTTGAAAATTTTGTTTTTGATTTATTTTATCCTGTAGTTCAACACTTTTAATGAACGAACAAAAACCTAATGCATTAAAATTTTTTTTTTCAATCGTTGCAAAATGGTCGGATAACTTCTTTCATTCTATTCGAACATTCTGGTTGTGGATGCAGGTGTCGCATCAGATATTTGAAGTTTTCACCAACTCTTACATCCACCCATATCCGCCCTTCTTATCCACATTCACTTTTATCAGCGCTCACCTGCATCCACCCATACCCATATTTTGTACTTCCACCAAAGTTGAGTTTTGCCCAAAATATAAATAAAAATATTGAAATTTCAGCGATCATTCGGATGATTTTTGTATCAAAACTAATTTTAAATCATTAAAAACCAAACATTTTAAATTAATTTTCTGAGATTAAAAGCGGTAGAATTTTGATCCAGTTTCATGTGTTTTATCTTGATTATAATCGACTTCTTCATGATTACTAAATCAATTTTAATAAAAAAGTAATCAAAATTTTATATGAAATTTCGATACTTTTAATTAGTTTTTGATTTTAATCGATTTTTCACATCAAATGTTTTTACACGAACCACACTGATCTTCCTTCTTGCTCATATGTAAGCGGTTCGTATGCCTTCATGTTTTTTTTCCTTTATGAAAGCGTTTCGGCGATGTTCTAACAGCTCGCCGCAAACTACGGGATGGCGCCATGCTATAGGGACGGAACTGCACAGACTCGCAGTTTATGTTTTCAAAGACTTCTGCATCCCTTATCAACTCCTCAAGTATTTTAATTCTTTTTCAACTTTTACCAAACGTCGATTAACTGGATTGTGATTTACCATTCGATTCTTCAAAATCGATTACTTTTAATGATGAATCACATAAGTTATTTATAAAAATGAAAAACAACGCATTTTAAGTGCCATCATTTCCTCTAAACTTATTTCGGATCAACGATGTTAGTATTTCACTCGACTTCTTTTTTTATATAAAATCGTAGCAAAAAAGACAACGTCGATGACTTACTTCCAACTTCACAACAGATATTTTCAGGGGATTATGCCAAGGGGGAAAAAGCAGATCCTGGTAGATCCTAGTGACTCCTGATGGATTCTGGTGGATCCTAATGGATCCTAAGGAACTGTAGAATAAATTATTTGAACTGTGCCGAAGAAAAAGTGGAAGAAACTGATCATTATCAACGCTAGTGTTATTTAGTGTTCCATGAAATGAAAGAAAAAAAGGGCAAAGTATCTTCAGACTTTGTGACTAACAACCCAGGACGATGATTACGACCGCTGTAACGACCAAAAACGATAACGTATACTGTCGTTTCATATAGTTTACGATCGTATATAGACATAAATTAACGTTTTGGTAGCGACAGTATTACGACCGTTTTTTATCGCATGGTATACGATTATCAATGGTCGTAAAACAGCCTGAAAATCAAGTATCCGATCGTTTACGATCATTTACGATACGATGAAATACAGCCGTAATACTATCGCTGCCAAACAGGCGAAAAATGCTCCCCCACGGCCGTTTACGACCGGCCTT